GATCTAAACAGTTTCAAAATGGAAGGTGAACTATGAAATGCATGCTATAATGAAGCATCAAATTGGGAATTTTATTTTATTTTTAAAGATTTTATTTGTTCATTTATTTTAGAGACACACAGAGAGAGAAAGTGTGAATGAGGGGAGGAACAGAGGGGGAGGCAGAGGGAGAGAAAATCAAAAAGACTCTGTACTGGGCGGGGCACCCAGGCTCATGATCTGGACATCATGACCCAAGCTGACACCAAGTCTGAGTGAGGCTCCACAGACTGAGGCACCCAGGCACCCCCAAATTGGAAGTTTTAGAAAGGAGGCTTAGAGTCATCTTTATAAAAGGCTAAGAGACCTAAGATTGACCTCGGAGCTAGACTTTCTTTCTTGAGAAAGAAAGTTTAAACTTCAGTTGATTGAATTTAGAATTAGCACCAATAAACGTAATAGGGAAGGAAGTAGATAGAGTTAGTGCGGAAGGTTAGGGCAGTTCTGAGAGGCCCGCAAGATTTCCAGCCAGATGCGCAGCACGCCCTCTAGTGGCTAATAGGGAGCAATACTTCCCTCTCAATACAGATCCCTCTCCCACCCCACTCTCTTTCACGTCCCGTATCTGTCTTATTTTTGCCTAACAGAATATCATTTTGCTTAGTAGGATTATTTGGAAAAGCCTGTTTTTCCAGACATATGCTAATAAGAGAAGACAACTTATGGAACAATTTCTCAAGGTGAGGTGAAGTTCCTGTAATTAAATATGGAAGATAAAAGTTCATGAAGCAATAAAAAATAGAGCAGAATTTAAAGCTACTCACATACTCATCGTACAAAAGACAAGAAAGGTGGATTGGCTCATTTTAACTCTGAACTAGCATTCATTTCAGTGAGAAGTCATTACTTCTGAGAGGAGAAACAAAAAAGCAAAATAAGGTGATTTTCTCCTCTTCAGAAACAGAAGACATATTAAGTAGTCAGTCATTAGAGACATTTTTTGGGGGAATGATTGTCAAATTCACGCAGATATAATATTCATTTGATTGTGTATAGTTTGCTCAGCAGAAATGGTTCGGTTAGTCTAATTTTAGTTGAGTATGCCTGAAAGGTAAGAGAGAAAATTCTGCATTTATCATCAGAGAGTGTGTACCCCAGTGTGAGATCTTCAAAGAGAGGGAAAAAAGTACTATTGACAGTGCAGTGTGCTGGGTGCTATCTCTTTATTGCCACTTTTAGTCCACAAGGCACTTCATAAGGCTAGAAATTATTATCCTCACTTTATCAGTGGGAAAACAGACGCTTAGTAAGTCCAAGTAACTTGGATCTAGTTCATACACATGTAGTTTGTAAAGTGATTGCAACAGTTCTCCCACAATTATTGGGAATAAAATGCTGTCTCCTTAGCTTTTCTGAATGTAAGCATTCACTTATAAGAGCAGTTTTAAGCACTAAATATTGTGAAAACACTTTACAAATTCCAAAGCATTAGATAAATGTATGGCATTATTTTGCTCATGAATATTTAATGGAGCTACTTAAAAACATTAAGGAGGAAAGTGGTTCAGTTCCGGCTTGCATCCTACATTTGTAGATTATTCCCCACACTTCCCCCAATTTTTTTTTTTTTTTCATATTATGTCGATTCCACACCATTAGTCTCTGTCCAGAGGTCTTAAATTTCCAAAGACATACAGCCTTATTGGTCAATGTCAATCTTATTGGCCAGAGGGAGCCATTTCCTTGTGGGCTTGGATTGGCCCCACCCCTTCCGGAGGAACTTGCTTGCAAACCCCGGATATAGGGGCGGGCCAGGCCACATGGAGACATCCAATCCGTGCGGCGCTCATATATTTACTGTGGTAAATTGAAATTCAATTGGTCACCCGTACTGCTGACCTAGCATGACTGTGCAGTTTTCCCTGTGTATTGCAATTTCATTGGCCACCTGTGTGTGGGCCCCAGGCTCAACCACCTCTATAAAGGTTAGGCTGTGAGGCAGGGAAGTAGTGATAGCGTCGGGGTCCTCAGGAGCGGGAGTCTTGGAGTCCTTTGGAGCAGCATCATGGGGGGGGTCCTTAGGAGCAGCATAGTGGGGGGGGGGTGTTGGGAGCGGCATCGTGTTGGGAGCGGCATCGTGTTGGGAGCGGCATCGTGTTGGGAGCGGCATCGTGTTGGGAGCGGCATCGTGTTGGGAGCGGCATCGTGTTGGGAGCGGCGGGATCGTCAGAGTAGTTGTCTGGAGCATCATGAGCCCTGCCAGGGAGCAGCACTGCCAGGGAGCAGCACTGCCAGGGAGCAGCACCGCCAGGGAGCAGCACCGCTGGGTGAGGGTGGATGGGGGGAGGTCCTTGGGTAGGGGGAGTCCTCGGGTAGGGGCAGTAGTCCCGGTCGGTGTCCTGGTCGTCTTCGCCTCTTTGTAAGAGAGGGCCCTGACTGGTGGGTTTGATTTTCGATGCTTGGCGCGAAATAAAGCTTTGCTTTACTTTTGCTTTGTGTCAGTCTCGTTCCTTTGATCATGGACCCTAACAGTCAACATTTCTCAAATACCTAATTCATGTCATTTAATTCATTTTAGTATATTCTTTTTTAATATTCCCTTTTAAATTCCTTTTTAAAATTCTATTATGCTACTTCTAGACTGATTGAAAAAAAAAGTAGCATGTGTTTGTTGGTGAAACAGAACAGGAAGTAAGGAAGAGACTAGTGAACGTTAAGTGGAAGGCCTGTGTTTGTCAGGCTGTGTTTTACAGTTGCCCATGAACAGTTTGGAATCTTCCATAAAACTTGTTACCGAAACCTGGCTATCCTCTGCCAGGAAAGTAGTGTGCCCCAAAGCTCGTTTCTTGAGGAATGTTGTTCCACCACTGCACGATACATTGGGAAATGTTTCATAGAGCATAAACTTCTTTTGGACTTTCAGATGCATACATATATTTTAAAGACTCTGAGAAGTTCTGTAGTAAGCCTGTTTAACTTTGGAACAATTTTCCATGACTTTTCGTATTTTCCGTGGAACACAGCTCTGACCAGGGAAGCACGGGATGCTGCCATCAGTCTATTCGATTATCTGTTTTCTGCTTGTGACGTATCAGTTTGACCATGCTGGATTTGGATACAACTGTCAATCAAGATTCTGTAGGGCTAAGATGATCAAACTAGGATACAAACTGGATTCATGGTACAAATTTATGGAAAAAGTGAATGAATAAGGTTTTCATAAAGCTCAATTTATTCAATTCGAAGGACTGACATTTATTCTGAATCCTTCCATGTTTTCTTTAACTTTTTAAAAGATTTTATTTATTTGTCACAGAGAGAGAGAGAGAGAGAGAGAGAGGGAGACAGGCAGGAGGAGCAGCAGGCAGAGGGAGAAGCAGACTCCTCACTGAGCAGGAATACCAATGTGGGACTCTATCCCAGGACTCTGGGATCATAACCTGGGTCAAAGGCAGAGATTTTAACCAACTGAGCCATCCAGGAACCCCTCCTTCCACACTGTAAAGTGAAATGTTGGTGATAGGAGATTTTAGTTGACTCAGCTATGAGCTTCCTCACAAGTCTAAATCTCCATCATGGCACAGATAATATCTGTTTTTTGCTCACAATTCTAAGGCCAACACTCCAATGCAGAGCCTGGCTCCAAAGAGGCTTTCAATAAAATTTGTAAAATAAATAGTAGTTGCTCTGATTAGTGCTCTATTTGACAAAATGTATCGTCAGCACCCCTGTGTTGGTCTGTTTCTAACTTGAAACTTTTGGAATCACTGAACTAGGTGAAAAGTCAAGTTTGCTAAAATGTCTCTATGGCCGCAGAGACAGTTCTTCTATAGTGTTGTCATTGGGAGGCAGCTACCACAGTAAGCGTTGCACATCCAGCCCCTTTTGCATTCCTGCGAGGCCCTGTAGCTAATTTTAATTGACAGAGTGAATCCAGAAATGATATATGTCACTTCTAGGTCAGGTCTCTCTCCCTCAGCAAGGTGAGTGCACGGGGCCATGATCTAGGGATGATGGAATCACAGGATCTTGGGGACCTGAATCACCTTAAGAAGGAAAGTCGGTTACCAAATGAATCACACACATTGAACTATTAATAAACATGAAGTAAACTTTTTTTGTGTTAAACCACTCATATTTGGTATTTGTTGTAGAACCTAGTGCTAGCTAACATCAATGTATGGATCCACACAATATCCTTTCAGAGGTATAGACTAGAAGCCTATCACCAAAAGGTTAAAATTGGTCTTCTCTCGGTAATAGGATTAATGGGTTTTGTTACTTACGCTTTCAAAGTTACCATATTTTCCAGATTCTCTTCGGTGAATAGGCATGACTATGCATTAGGTTTATAATCGAGGGAAGAACACAAATAATATATAATATGTTTGAATGATTCCAAACTCTTGTTCTTTTGTTATGGGGATCCTTCTTCACTCCCTGGGTTCTTCAAGCCCTTTCTTCATTCTGGACCTCCAAATCGGCATATGCCCATCTCTAGTCAGAACTGACAAACTGAGAAATAATCTCCCAGAGGCATCTGAGGAATAATCACAACCCAGGTTTTCTTTATTTCTCTCCAAAATGGTGGGTACTGCCTAGGGGAGAAAGACCGCTTGGGTCATTGTACCATAGGTGGATCCTTCATTACTTCATTCATATTTGTAGCTTTTTATTCTGAAATAATTACAAACCTAGAAAGAATAAATTTTTAGAAACCTTTCACCCTGAGCCCTCAAAGTGCCATATTTAAATTATCATTCTCTCTCTGTAGATAGATGATGGATAATAGATAGATAGATAGATAGATAGATATAGTTAGATGGATGGATGGATGGATGGATATACACATAGATGATAGATATTGTTAGATGGATGGATGGATAGGTAGATACATAGAATTGGGAACCATCTGAAAATAATTTAAACAAAAAGTTGAAGACAGTTGGCACTATTCATCAAAATTTAATTTATAATTATTAACTCAAAATTCTTGAAAAAGATAATTATTAATTCTGCGATTATACTTAGAGTAATTTATTGTAAGGAAATACTTACAATCACAACAATGTTTATCATACTAGAAAACAGGAGATGGCTTCTGTATCCAACAATAAATTTGGGTGAACAAATTGTACAGTACAATTAGGTACAACGCAATTACCATGCTTCCCTATGTCCTTCTGTTTGCCACTCATCGTTGGCCTCCATAGTCATTAAGATGAAGTTCAAAGGTCTTAATAGGTTTCCATCTGCAGACTGCATCTCTCTTATCACCACTAGGACTCTCTTGATCCTGCCAGAGACTCCTTCAGAGAGAGTGATCATCCAAGGTACCCCTGAACCTCATCTAGCTTTGATGAATATTGGTGTCATCACCTACGTGTTTCCTACACTTCCTGCATTAAGGATCACAGCAGGGACCATCGGACCTGGAGATTCTGATCTGCCTTTGGTCTCAGGAAATCCCGCTAGCATAGGAAACAGGTCATGCAACATGACCGAGGGCAGAGTAGAAAGCCTGGGCTCTTCAGGAAGGTCTACTCACTGTAAGAGAAAACTAACTTAGAATATAATCAGAATCCTACCGGATTTTCAACAGATAACCTATCCTAATTTCAAATATAGAGTCAATGCCTCACAATGATACATTCATAAGAATTCCTAAGAGAAAAAGAATGTCAGCTTTATTCTTAGTAACATCAACTGAAAAAGGAGATTCCCTGAATCCACCAATGCAAACTTCTAAAATTCCTGTATCCCTTTCTAGCCTGTATATTCACCTTCCTCACAAAGAACAATGAAAACAATGTATTATTCCATAATTTCCAAAGGAAATCGCTTTACTTTGACATCTCAAATTCAGACAGTCTGAAGTAAAAATAAACATGAAGTCTCAACTGGGAAGTGTTTGGGATTATCGTGTTTCTTATACAAATATTTGGATGGAAAATCATAGAATTCGATATACCAGTTATGAAATAAAAACAAGTAAAGTTAACCATGAAATACACCTCATAAATATTACACACATTTCATTAGGTGGATAAATTCTGAGAACCATGAAGGAAACCCTCCAAAATACAGTATTTATTTAAAAGACGATAGTTTGTATTGAAGACACTGTTTGCAAGAGAGAAAGGGCTTACAAATGGAATACAAAAATGCAACATTCTTAATCCATTTGACTGGACACATCAGTATGGAATATCTTACTTCCCTCAAGGAGTGTACAAGATACCACACAAACATTTAATTTTATTTAGTTTATTAATATGATCCAAACAGACTTAGCTTAAGAAATGAGGAAAGGACATACAATGAGATTTGGCTGAACTACACAAAGGGAACCTAAAAAGTGACACGATTTTCCACTGGCAACGACTTTACTAAGGAAAGTTAGTTTATTAACTAATATAAAAATAAATCTACCATAGCAACTATGACTCAAATTGAGCCAGGATGTCTCACGCATGACACCCAACCTGGTCAGTGAGGTCCTACAGGGACCTCACACCCTCCTACAATGGCTCGAATTACTGGGCCTTTGACCTGGAACCTCATGAAGGACCCCTCACAGCACAGGATCTGCAGCCAGCTATGTTTTCTCCTCAGCCTACAACCATTATATACCATTTCTGTGTTTCCCATAGCTTCTTTCTTTTTAGAGGGTAACAGAGCTCAAGAAAAAAACTCACCTGGCCAATGCTGGGTGGGGAAGGAAAAAGAAATTGTTTAAGATGGGTTTGGGGTAGTTCGGGAGTACTAGTAGACCCAGATAAACCGAGAAGCTGGAATGGGTAACACTGAAACGCACTGAGGTCAGGGGCCCATCAGTTTTTCACAGAAAGGGCACAGATGGATCAACACTGAAGGAAAGAAAGGACCATTGTTACACTGGGGAAGTCACACCCAAAGAACAATAAAGAAGACGAAACATGGAAGAGAACGTACTTTCTTTTACATTTTTAAGATGAAAGCATTTTAAGATTAAGATTCCTTTTAAGAAAGGAATCTGGAAGCCAAATCACCAAAGAAAAAGTGAAATAATGATGATGAGTCTTTAAATAAAATGAAACATGGAAAGAAATAAAGAACTCTTTCCCTTCCACTTGACTTTGTCCAAATTGTTAAAAAGGTTGTGTTAAGTCAGTCTAGTTTTGCTTTATTGGCAGCAGATACATGTGATCAGACACATCTGAGCGAAAGGAGAGAACTCAGTCAACATCTCTCAGGTAGACGGGGAAGGATGGACACAGAGAGGAAGGGAGTGTGTGACCGGAAGTTCTCCACACGCCTCATGCTCTCTCTTCGTGCCCACAGTGTCTTTAACCCACACGCTCGGATCACAGGAAACATCGTCCCCAGGCACAGAATGAGGACCATAAGCGTGTGCTGTGCAGCAAGCTACCGAGTGCCATGAAGCCCACGAGAAGCTCAAAAGAGCCATTTCTGTGCACGGAAGAGGAAGAAGAGGCTCCACACACCAAAGGCTCTGCTTTATACGGTCTTTCCACGTGGGGAGGTAACGCTGTCATCCCTTGAATCTGAAAAACCAAACAGTAGACAATGGAAGAAGAGGTCTTGCTCAGCTCCCCCACTTGGGCAGGGTGAAAGCGGTGGGTGGGAGTGGGTCGCCCAAGGAGTCAACCATCAGGGGACTCTGAGCCTTAGGAGGGCTTAGGAGGGGGGCGGGGCAGAGAGCCACATACGCCTCTGGGAAGGAGAGATATAAACTCAGCTCTGTTGCTTTTTGAAGCTCTCATCCCATCCTATTCCTGCTTCATTCCAACCTTAGTTGATTAGTCAATCTCCTTCTTTGTAGAGGGTAAAATCAGGACTTCTCAGTCAACCCAAGCAGTGACTGAACAAATAAATTATCAGACATATCAAAAGACAACTGAAACACTGGATTTATGGATATTTGTCTGTTCCTTAGATTTTACCTGTTGGGGATTAGGTAAAATGTGACATCTAGTTTCTTCAAAGATGAAAACAAAGTAGGGCTTACCGACCACTCTGCATTGTCTGTCTTGGAGCATCTCACGTTCACTGGCAAGCTAAGGACAAGCTTGTTGAAGGAAAGACCTTCCTTTTTAGCCCATTTAAACTTATTCATTGCATCCATGAAAGAAAGGTTTTTATACTGCTTGGGGCTTTTGATAATGAAAGGCCAGGTCCTGAATTTAAAATAACCACAATTAGTTATATTCAGAACAAAAGCATTACATGTCTCCCTTAATTTTCAACATTCTAAGATAGACCTCATACTTGTCCATTTTACACACACAGAAAACCTAATACAAAGGATTGATTGATTCACCAGCAATTCCAGAAGATATATAGGGACTGAGTAAGGAGTCTTTGGAAAAAAATGAAATTCCTTATTTTAGTAGCAGATGGGTACTACTCTAGACAAATAATTTTGACCCAGAAAGCTTCCCCCAGCCTCACAATCCTTTGCTTATTTGTTTTGGCTTTCCTTAACAACAATATGCCTGGTACGTGTTCCGTTCCACAGAATTTAACGCTAATGGTGTAATAAAGAAATGTTACTGTAAGACATGGAAATTTCAGTTCCATAGAGTTGAAAAGCCTGACCCCTATGGGCTGCCCTGTTTTGACTTGCCTAAGTGATAATAAATTTTTTAAAATATGAAACTGAACCAGGATTTTTCAAATTTTACTGAGGAAAAAATAAAAACTCTGCTGAAGATAAACTCTTGCTTCCACTTGCTGTTTAAAAACAAAACAAAACAAAACACATTAATGGCCAAGAAAGAAAGAAGAAATCACAGAAGAATAACACAATCTGCTTGAAAAGCTACTCCTCCAGTGATATTTTTCATGAATGTAAGTTTTATGTTATTGATTCCTGAAAAAAGAAAAACTGTTAGGTAGTGTTGGCCGACCACAAAGATTTACATGAACTAGTCCGTGAATCTTCCCAGAGATTGTCATGGGTCACCAGCAGGTATTTGATACCCATAACAACCCAAGAAGATGGTCCAGGAATTACTGATTGATTAACCTCCCCCTAAGGAATTTACACTTACCATATTTGATCTTCAAAATTTCTTTTTAAAAAATATTTATGTATTTGAGAGAGTGAGCGAGCACGTGAACAAGTGGGGGTTGCGGGGAGACAAGGGGGAGAGGGACAGCAAGCTCCTAACTGAGTAGGGAGCCAAATGCAGGGCTCGATCCCAACACCCTAAGATCATGACATGAGCCAAAACCAAGAATCCATGGCTTAACAGACTGAACCACCCAGGTGCTCCTACAGTGTCTTTTTAAATCCGTGGAAAGCTACAGGTAGGTTTTCTTAAAAGTCTTAAAATTAAATATTAAAAATAAAATTTGCTTTTCAAAGAGATAAGGTGTACATCTTTAAAAAAAAGAAAATCAAGGGTGCCTGGGTGGCTCAGTGGGTTAAGCCTCTGCTTTTGGCTCAGGTCATGAACTCAGGGTCCTGGGATCGAGCCCCGCATCGGGCTCTCTGCTCAGCAGGGATCCTGTTTCCTCCTCTCTCTCTCTCTCTCTGCCAACTTGTGATCTCTCTCTGTCAAATAAATAAATCTTTAAAAAAAAAAGAAAAAGAAGGGACGCCTGGGTGGCTCAGTTGGTTAAGCAGCTGCCTTCGGCTCAGGTCATGATCCCAGCGTCCTAGGATCGAGTCCCACATCAGGCTCCTTGCTCGTCAGGGAACCTGCTTCTCCCTCTGCCTCTGCCTGCCATTCTGTCTGCCTGTGCTCGCTCTCTCTCCCTCTCTCTCTCTGACAAATAAATAAAATCTTAAAAAGAAAAAGAAAAAAGAAAATCAGTTTCATAACCAATGAGAAACCCCTGAAGGAAATCACCAGCCTGTAACCCCCAGAAACACCACAAGGTGGCACTAGAATCCGTACTAAAGCGCTAAGGGAACTTAACCTCTGCGTTTTCCACAGCCTTGCTGGAGAGAGTGAATAGTGTATTGTTGTAGGTAGATGAAATATTTTAAAAATTTTTGCTGCTTGAATAAATCAGTAAACTAGTACTTTTCTTTTTGAGATTTCACAGCGTAAATAACAGAAGTAATATAAACACACTTGTAAATTTACTGTAAGTGTATGGAAAAGGATGTAGAAAATATTCACATGTTCAGAAACAGCCTGACTAGGTCTGGTGACAGGGGCTGGTGATCCTAAGATGGAAGCTGGACTCATACTTATTGTCTCCTCTGCATTCCTGCTGCCTTTGTCCAGACCTCTATCCGTAATGACATCACACCAACAAACCTCCTACCCCTTCCAGCCTATCCTATACCACATTTCCGGATTACTCCTGGAGAAAAGGGAATGGAGAGATGAAAAGAGAAATCCTAAAGAGGTAAATATTTACCCTGTGTATTTTTCCTTTAAACACTAAGCTTTAAGCCAGAAACAGGTAACCTTGAAGTAGCAAGTCCTGCTCTCATGGGGACTCGGAGTTGGTTAGGAATATTGAGAATGGTTTAGAAATTAAAACAGTTTCATTTCTTTACATCTGAGCAGTGTGTAAATGTCTACTCAGATGCAAATATAAATAAGAAGGTATTATTTACGTATCACCATAGTTGATAAAAACAAACTACATTAACATCATGATTTAATATTGGTGAGCAATTTCCCTTTGTAAATTCAATCTAATTGACAAGTTCATTTAAGAATATATAGCTAAGTGAAATGAACTTAGACTACCCGAAATAATTTTGGGAAAAGAAACAAATGACAAAGTTTTGGCATTTACATGGTCTTATTTCAAGACTTACTATAAAACTATGATAACAGAGTGTGACATTAGAGTAAGGCTAAGCATGAACATCAGCAAGACAGAATTCAGAGTCCAGAAATAGTATATGATCCAATTACTTTCAACAAACATTTCAGGGTAATTCAATGGGAAAAAGGTACTGTAAACCTTGGGTGGGGGGGACAGGAAAAAATCTTCATAACCTTGGGTAGGCAAAGACTTCCTATACAAGATGTTCAAAGTAAAAACAAATAAAAAATGATAAAATGGGTTTCAAAAAAATACTGTTAAAAATGGAAATGAAAATCTTCACAGACTAGGAGAAATTAGTCGTAAAAATATATCTGACAAACAGCTTATATCTGAAGTATAAAGAACTCTTTAAAAATATAAAGAACTCTTACAACACAATAATAAGAAGATGAGTAACCCAACAATGGACAAAAATTTGAACAACTAAAAAGGAACATATATAAATGACCAATAAGCATGTGAAAAGAGAATCAACATTGTTAGTCATAAGAGAAATGGAAAATAAAACCACAGTAAGATACCATTCCATACACTTAAGTAAAATTTAGGAGTTCTTATACATTACTGGTAAGAATGTAAAAAGAAGCATCATTTTGGAAAGTACTCTGAGAGTCATATGAGGTAAACAAATCCAGTGATTCCAGCAGTCCATTCTAGCCCAGAAAACGGAAAACATGTCTGTACAGAGATGAATACAACACTGTTCATAGCAGCTTCCTTCGTGATCGCTAGAGACTGGACACAATCCAAATGTCTTTCAACTAGTGATTAATAGAGGAAGAGATGAACACAAGGGAATACGACTCAACGATAAAAAGGAGTGGACGGCTGATACATCAGCAGAGATGAATCTCAAAAACATTCTGAATCAAAGAAGCCAGGCACAAAAGAGTACATACTGTAGGATCCCATTTTTATAAAACCTAGAAAAGATCGGACTAACGTGGTGCTAGAAAGCGGATTGGGAGCTTCCCGGGGCTTTGTGTGGGAGGTGTGATTGCCTCCAGATAGCAGAAGGGAACTTGTAGGGGTGATGAAAATGTTCTGTATCTTTTCCGTGGTGGGGGTAAGTAGGTATATGCATCTGAGAGTGAGTGCATTTTGTCATAGGTAAGTTCTACCTTAAAGATTTGACTTAAAAAAAAAATAGTAAAACAGAAATAAAAACATACCAACAAGCCAATGGGGAAAAAAAGACAGTATCATGTCATACACTTTATAATCTAATTGTTGAAGAAGAAAGCCAGGAAATCTGACCTAACAAGGTATAACTCCTAATCCTTTCGACACTCCAAGACTAGAGGAATGTTGGGAAGCCCCCAGTAAAGTTGTCTCAGTGATGGAAGAGAAACTTCTGGGTCACAACAGATTTAACCATATGATGTAAAGCCTCGGACATTCCCCTCTGGAAAGGGACTTGGTCCCAACCAATTAGAAAACTTCCTTGGGGGCAAGGGGGAGGCAGGGAACATCTGGCTGGCTCGGTCGGTGGAACATGTGATTCTTCATCTTTGGGTTGAGTCTGATCCCCAGGTTGAGTACTTAAAGGTTGAGCCCCAGGTAGAGAGTACTTAAAAATAAAATCTTTAAAGGGACACCTGGGTGCCACCCTAGGTTGAGGTCCGACTCTTGGTTTCAGTTCAAGTCACTATCTCAGGGTCGTGAAATCAAGCCCCGCATCAGGCTCTGTATTCAGTACAGAGTCTGCTTAAGACTCTCTCTCCCTCTCCCACTGCCACTCCCCCTGCCCACTCTCTCTCTCTAAAATAAATAAATCCTTTTAAAAAAATCTTAAAAGAAAGAAAGAGAACTTCCTCAGTAGATTTTCTTAAGAATATCTTAGAAAGGAATAACCCATCCTCTGTAATCCCAGAGTATATAGTCCCACCTCTATATGTCTATCCCCACAGCCCTTTACCCCAAAATATGGTAAAGTGTGTACATAAAATATGTCAGCCAAACCTCAAACTGTGGTGTGCAGAGACAGAGGGCTACTGTCAGATTTTCTTAGAAGGTAGACAAGAATTAACCCATATTTTATCAGATCAAAGAGCTGTTTTAGACAGAATTAGCTCAGCATAAGCAAGAAATGACATAACAAGCCTGCAAACATAGAGAAAGAAGAAATTATATCATGTTTCATGAAAAGAGACAGAAAAGGCTGACTCTAGAAGAAAATATAAACCAGTTATACCAAAGAGAATTACCACAAGTGTTTCATGTACTAAGTATATTTAATAAGAGCATGCATTTAATTAAACAAGAGCTCACATACAAAAATTTAAAACAGAATGAGATGAAAAGGGAAATAGCAGACCAATGGAAATAAATTTAGGCTAAAACAAATTTAGCACCAAATAAATTAGAAAAAAGCAAG